CGTACAACGTGCCCGCCGATCCCTCCTCCCGTACAACGTGCCCTCCGATCCCTCCTCCCGTACAACGTGCCCACCGATCCCTCCTCCCGTACAACGTGCCCAACCACGATCCCTCCTCCCGTACAACGTGCCCACCGATCCCTCCTCCCGTACAACACGTGCCCTACCGATCCTCTCCTCCCGTACAACGTGCCCACCGATCCCATCCTCCCGTACAACGTGCCCAAATCCCCTCCTCCCCGTACAACGTGCCCAGATCCCTCCTCCCACAAACCAACGTACCCAAACACGATCCCGTCCTCCCGTACAACGTACCCCACCGATCCCTCCCTCCCTAACAACGTGCCCACCGATCCCTCCTCCCGTACAACGTGCCCACGAAGATCCCCTCCCGTACAAACGTGCCCACCGATCCCTCCACCCGTACAACGTGCCCACCGATCCCTCCACCCCGTACAACATGCCCACCCACCGCCATCCCTCCACCCGTACAACATGCCCCGATCCCTCCTCCCACACAACGTACCCACCGATCCCTCCTCCCCACACAACGTACCCGCCGATCCCTCCTCCCACACAACGTGCCACGCCGATCCCTCCTCCCACACAACGTGCCCGCCGATCCCTCCTCCCATACAACGTGCCCCGCCGATCCCTCCTCCCATACAACGTGCCCAACCGATCCCTCCTCCCATACAACAACGTGCCCGCCCGATCCCTCCTCCCAAACAACGTGCCCGCCGATCCCTCCTCCCAATAAATTCTCCAACGTGCCAAACCGATCCCTCCTCCCATACATACCCACGTGCCCCGCCGATCCCTCCTCCCATACAACGTGCCAGCCGATCCCTCCTCCCCATACAACGTGCCCCACCGATCCCTCCTCCCATACAACGTACCCGCCGATCCCTCCTCCCATACAACGTGCCCGCCGATCCCTCCTCCCATACAACGTGCCCACCGATCCCTCCTCCTCACATACAACGTGCCCGCCGATCCCTCCCCTCCCCCATACAACGTACCCACCGATCCCTCCTCCCATACAACGTGCCCGCCGATCCCTCCTCCCATACAACGTGCCCGCCGATCCCTCCTCCCATACAACGTGCCCGCCGATCCCTCCTCTCCATACAACGTGCCCGCCGATCCCATCCTCCCATACAACGTACCCACCGATCCCTCCTCCCATACAACGTACCCACCGATCCCTCCTCCCGTACAACGTAACATAAAAGACAATCTGTGTCTTCATCCAATCAGGTTCCCTTGGCAGTCCCAAGTCACCAATAAGTCATGAGTGCCTATTCCACTTGTGGTATGTTGTCACCCCCATCAGAAGGGGGACAGGAAATGACATCACAGGTCACATGATGAAGCTGCATGCACTGTGTGGGAAGTATAGGAGAGATAAATGCAGCGTTCTCCCCTGATCACCGTCATCCTGCATTGTGTGCAGCTGCTAGAGCAGAGTTCCTGTTCTGTCAGTCCCCCTCGTGGCCAGTAGGGGGAGCCCCATCACATCTGGGGGGGGGAGGTAGGTCAGAGGTGTCCCTCCCCTTTGTCCCTTACCCCCCCCTGGGTGGCGCACCTTTGTGTCTGTCATGGAAATGACACGGATGATCTCATTTTGGGGAGGGGGGGGCACTCAGTACCCGCACCGCCTGTACCCGGAAACCTGGACCCCGCACCGCCTGTTCCCGGATACCTGGACCCCGCACCGCCTGTTCCCGGATACCTGGACCCCGCACCGCCTGTTCCCCCGGATACCTGGACCCCCGCACCGCCTGTTCCCGGATACCTGGACCCTGCACCCGGATACCTGGACCCTGCACCCGGATACCTGGACCCTGCACCCGGATACCGGGACCCTGCACCCGGATACCGGGACCCTGCACCCGGATACCGGGACCCTGCACCCGGATACCGGGACCCTGCCCCCCGGATACCGGGACCCTGCACCGCCTGTACCCGGAAACCTGGACCCTGCACCGCCTGTACCCAGAAACCTGGACCCTGCACCGCCTGTTCCCGGAAACCTGGACCCTGCACCGCCTTGTACCCAGGAACTTGCACCGCCCTTGTACCCGGGACCCTGCACCACCTGTACCCGGGACCCTGCATCCGGAACCCTACACCACCTGTACCCGGAACCCTGCATCCGAAACCCTGCACCACCTGTACCCAGGACCCTGCATCCGGAACCCTACACCACCTGTACCAGGGACCCTGCATCCGGAACCCTGCACCACCTGTACCAGGATACCCTGCATCCGGAACCCTACACCACCTGTACCAGGGACCCTGCATCCGGAACCCTGCACCACCTGTACCCAGAACCCTGTGACCCTGGACCACCACCACTTGACCTGTCTGTTTCGCCCCCCCCCATAGTAAAAGTCAGAACTGTCTGTGTTCCCCCCCCATAGTGAAGTGAGAACTGTCTGTGTTCCCCCTGCCCCCCCCCCATAGTGAAGTGAGAACTGTCTGTGTCCCCCCCTATCCCCCCATAGTGAAGTGAGAACTGTCTGTGATCCCCCCTCCCCACCCCCATAGTGAAGTGAGAACTGTGTGTGTCCCCCCCCCATAGTGAAGTGAGAAGTGTCTGTGTTCCCCCCCCCCCCCATACTGAAGTGAGAAGTGTCTGTGATCCCCCCCCCTCCCCCCCCCCATAGTGAAGTGAGAACTGTCTGTGTTCCCCTCCCCTCCCCCCCCCCCATAGTGAAGTCAGCTGTCTGTGTTCCCCCCCCCCCCCAATAGTGAAGTCAGAACTGTCTGTGTTCCCCCCTCCCCCCCCCCCCCCCATAGTGAAGTCAGAACTGTCTGTGTTCCCCCCCCTCCCACCCCCCCCCCCCCATAGTAAAGTCAGAGCTGTCTGTGTTCCCCCCATAGTGAAGTCAGAACTGTCTGTGTTCCCCTCTCCCCCCCCCCCCCCATAGTGAAGTGAGCTGTCTGCGTTCCCCCCCCCCCCCCCATAGTGAAGTGAGAACTGTCTGCGATTCCCCCCCCCCCCACCATAGTGAAGTCAAACTGTCTGTGTTCCCCCCCTCCCCCCCCCATAGTGAAGTCAGAGCTGACTGTGTTCCCCCCCCCCCCCCCCCATAGTGAAGTGAGAACTGTCTGTGTTCCCCCTCCCCCACCCCCCCCCCCATAGTGAAGTCAGCTGTCTGTGTTCCCCTCTCATAGTAAAGTCAGAGCTGACTGTGTTCCCCCCCCCCCCCCCCCCCATAGTGAAGTGAGAACTGTCTGTGTTCCCCTCTCCTCCTCCCCCCCCCCATAGTGAAGTGAGAACTGTCTGTGTTCCCCTCTCCCCCCCCCCCCCCCCCCCCCATAGTGAAGTCAGAACTGTCTGTGTTCCCCTCCCCCCCCCCCATAGTGAAGTCAGAACTGTCTGTGTTCCCCCCCCCCCCCATAGTGAAGTAGAAAGTCTGTCTGTGTTCCCCCCCCCCCCCCCATAGTGAAGTCAGAACTGTCTGTGTTCCCCCCCTCCCCCCCCCCCCATAGTGAAGTCAGAACTGTCTGTGTTCCCCCCCCCCCCCCATAGTGAAGTCAGAGCTGTCTGTGTTCCCCCCCCCCCCCCCCCATAGTGAAGTCAGAGCTGTCTGTGTTCCCCCCTCCCCCCCATAGTGAAGTCAGAACTGTCTGTGTTCCCCCCTCCCCCCCATAGTGAAGTCAGAGCTGTCTGTGTTCCCCCCCCCCCCCCCATAGTGAAGTCAGAGCTGTCTGTGTTCCCCCCCCCCCCCCTATAGTGAAGTCAGAACTGTCTGTGTTCCCCCCTCCCCCCCCATAGTGAAGTCAGAGCTGTCTGTGTTCCCCTCCTCCCCCCCCCCCCCCATAGTGAAGTGAGAACTGTCTGTGATCCCCCCCCCCCCCCCCCCCCCCCCATAGTGAAGTCAGAGCTGACTGTGTTCCCCCCCCCCCCCATAGTGAAGTGAGAACTGTCTGGTTCCCCTCCTCCTCCCCCCCCAATAGTGAAGTCAGAGCTGACTGTGTTCCCCCCCCCCATAGTGAAGTGAGAACTGTCTGTGATCCCCCCCCCCCCATAGTGAAGTGAGAACTGTCTGTGTTCCCCTCTCCCCCCCCCCATAGTGAAGTCAGAGCTGTCTGTGTTCCCCCCCCCCCCCCCATAGTGAAGTGAGAACTGTCTGTGATCCCCCCTCATAGTGAAGTGAGAACTGTCTGTGATCCCCCCCCCCCCCCCCATAGTGAAGTCAGAACTGTCTGTGTGCGCCCCCCCCCCCCCCATAGTGAAGTGAGAAACTGTCTGTGTTCCCCCCCCCCCCCCCCCCATAGTGAAGTGAGAACTGTGTTTCCCCCCCCCATAGTGAAGTGAGAACTGTCTCTGTTCCCCCCTCCCCCCCCCCCCCATAGTGAAGTGAGAACTGTCTCTGTTCCCCTCCCCCCCCCCCCCCCCATAGTGAAGTGAGAACTGTCTGTGTTCCCCTAGTGAAGTGAGACTCCTAGTGAAGTCAGAACTGTCTCTGTTCCCCTCTCCCCCCCCCCCCATAGTGAAGTAAGAACTGTCTGTGTTCCCCCCCCCCCCCCCCCCCCCCAGTGAAGTGAGAACTGTCTGTGTTCCCCCTCCCCCCCCCCCCCCCATAGTGAAGTAAGAACTGTCTGTGTTCCCCCCCCATAGTGAAGTCAGAACTGTCTGTGTTCCCCCCCCCCCCCCCCCCCCCATAGTGAAGTAAGAACTGTCTGTGTTCCCCCCCCCCCCCATAGTGAAGTGAGAACTGTCTGCGTTCCCCCCCCCCCCCCCCATAGTGAAGTCAGAACTGTGTGTCCCCCCTCCCCCCCCCCCATAGTGAAGTGAGAACTGTCTGTGTTCCCCCCTCCCCCCCCCCCCCCATAGTGAAGTGAGAACTGTCTGTGTTCCCCCTCCCCCCCATAGTGAAGTGAGAACTGTCTGTGTTCCCCCTCTCCCCCCCCCATAGTGAAGTCAGAACTGTCTGTGTTCCCCTCTCACCCCCTTGCCGGTGTCGGTCTCCCCGCTGTAACAGCAGCCCATGTCCTCCCCGGAGAGCCCACACTCTCGGCTCCCTCACATGACCAGCCGGAAGTGGCGAACTCGACTAAACTTCCTCTTCCGGTTCCGCGGACAGTCACGAGACGGGCTGTCAGGGAAACGGAGAGGGGCGGGGTTGTGTTTTGGTAAGGTATGGGCGGGGAAAGATGGCTGGGGCGTCAAGGGATTGGACTTTATAAAAAGAAGGGCGGGGTGACGGCTGTGCCAGACGAGAGGCGGGGCAAACATTCAGAGAGCGCTCAGTTCTTTACTGGGCGGGGCCTATTGTGAACGTGGGTGTGACTTACTGAGGAGTCTTCATAGCAGGTGATAGGAGGGGGTGGGGCCTGTGTTCAGTCAGGGTTTCCGATGTCAGGGTGGAGTTTGGTGATGTCACTGATTTCAGGGTGGAGTTTGGTGATGTCACTGATTTCAGGGTGGAGTTTGGTGATGTCACTGATTTCAGGGTGGAGTTTGGTGATGTCACTGATTTCAGGATGGAGTTTGGTGATGTCACTGATGTCAGGGCGGAGTTTGGTTTTATATGGGTTCATTTGGATGATGTCAGGGTGGAGCTTTGTGATGTCAGTGATTTTAGGGTGGAGTTTGGTGATTTCAGGGCGGAGTTGGTGATGTCACTGCAGGGTGTAGATTGGTGATTTCAGAGGCTGAGATCAGTGATTTCTGGGCGGTGAGCTGTGATTTCTGGGCGGAGATCAGTGATTTTTGGGCGTAGATCAGTGATTTCTGGGCAGAGAGCTGTGATTTCTGGGCGCAGATTGGTGATTTCTGGCGGAGATCGGGGATTTCTGGGCGGAGATCGGGGATTTCTGGGCGGAGATCGGTGATTTCTGGGCGGAGATCGATGATTTCTGGGCGGAGATCAGTGATTTCTGGGCGGGCGTAGATCAGTGATTTCTGGGCGGAGATCAGTGATTTCTGGGCGTAGATCAGTGATTTCTGGGCGTAGATCGGTGATTTCTGGGCGGAGATCGGTGATTTCTGGGCGGAGATCGATGATTTCTGGGCGGAGATCAGTGATTTTCTGGGCGTAGATCAGTGATTTCTGGGCGGAGATCGGGGATTTCTGGGCGGAGATCGGTGATTTCTGGGCGTAGATCGAAGATTTCTGGGCGTAGATCAGTGATTTCTGGGCGTAGATCGGTGATGATTTCTGGGCGGAGAGATCATCTGGGCGGAGATCGATTTCTGGGCGTAGATCAGTGATTTCTGGGCGTAGATCAGTGATTTCTGGGCGGAGAGCTGTGATTTCTGGGCGGAGATCGGGGATTTCTGGGCGGAGATCGGTGATTTCTGGGCGGAGATCAGTGATTTCTGGGCGGAGATCGGTGATTTCTGGGCGGAGATCGATGTGATTTCTGGGCGCAGATCGGTGATTTCTGGGCGGAGATCGGTGATTTTCTGGGCGCAGATCGGTGATTTCTGGGCGGAGGAGATCAGTGATTTCTGGCCAGAGAGCTGTGATTTCTGGACGGAGAGCTGTGATTTCTGGGTGGAGATCGGTGATTTTTGGGCGTAGATCGGGATTTCTGGGCAGAGATCGGTGATTCTCTGGGCGTAGATTGATGATTTCTGGGCGTAGATCGGTGATTTCTGGGCGTAGATCGGTGATTTCCTGGGCGTTAGATCGGTGATTTCTGGGCGGAGATCAGTGATTTCTGGGCGGAGATCGATGATTTCTGGGCGTAGATCAGTGATTTCTGGGCGGAGAGCTGTGATTTCTGGGCGGGGAGATCGGGGATTTCTGGGCGGAGATCGGGGATTTCTGGGCGCAGATCGGTGATTTCTGGGCGCAGATCGGTGATTTCTGGCCAGAGAGCTGTGATTTCTGGACGGAGAGCTGTGATTTCTGGGGTGGAGATCGGTGATTTCTGGGCGTAGATCGATGATTTCTGGGCGTAGATCAGTGATTTCTGGGCGGAGAGCTGTGATTTCTGGGTGGAGATCGGTGATTTCTGGGCGGAGATCAATGATTTCTGGGTGTAGATCAGTGATTTCTGGGCGTAGATCAGTGATTTCTGGGCGGAGATCAGTGATTTCTGGGCGGAGATCAGTGATTTCTGGGCGGAGATCGGTGATTTCTGGGCAGAGAGCTGTGATTTCTGGGCGGAGATCGGGGATTTCTGGGCGGAGATCGGTGATTTCTGGGCGGAGATTGGTGATTCCTGGGTGGAGATTTGTGACCCTAGAAAATCCAGTGATCAACGAGTATCTTGTGTCTCATTAGTGTTGTCTTATTATAATGAAGTCCACACAGAAAGAGTTCATAAGACAAATCTGTTGTCTTCTATCAATAATGGAGGACGTACGACCCGTGTATATATATATACTATTCCCGCAGCAACCAATAGGCCTTTCCCAGAGAGATGCATTTATTCGGATAAAGATATTTGTTACAGATGACAGAAATCCAGCTGAAGATTTGTAAAGATTACAACGAACAACAACAACCCTCAAAGTCCCATTCAAGATCCTTCATATCCAGCATAGAGATCCTACACCGTCCAGCATATGTCCGATCTATAATATGCACCTCGGTGGCTTCCATGCAACCTGTGCTCTATCCCTCGTATCCTGACCTGTCCTCTATCCCATGTATCCTGACCTGTGCTCTATCCCATGTATCCTGACCTGTGCTCTATCCCTGTATCCTGACCTGTCCTCTATCCCATGTATCCTGACCTGTCCTCTATCCCATGTATCCTGACCTGTCCTCTATCCCATGTATCCTGACCTGTGCTCTATCCCATGTATCCTGACCTGTCTCTATCCCATGTATCCTGACCTGTGCTCTATCCCATGTATCCTGACCTGTGCTCTATCCCATGTATCCTGACCTGTGCTCTATCCCATGTATCCTGACCTGTCCTCTATCCCATGTATCCTGACCTGTGCTCTATCCCATGTATCCTGACCTGTCCTCTATCCCATGTATCCTGACCTGTGCTCTATCCCATGTATCCTGACCTGTGCTCTATCCCATGTATCCTGACCTGTGCTCTATCCCGTGTATCCTGACCTGTCCTCTATCCCATGTATCCTGACCTGTGCTCTATCCCATGTATCCTGACCTGTCTCTATCCCATGTATCCTGACCTGTGCTCTATCCCATGTATCCTGACCTGTGCTCTATCCCATGTATCCTGACCTGTGCTCTATCCCATGTATCCTGACCTGTGCTCTATCCCATGTATCCTGACCTGTGCTCTATCCCATGTATCCTGACCTGTCCTCTATCCCATGTATCCTGACCTGTGCTCTATCCCCATGTATCCTGACCTGTGCTCTATCCCATCATATCCTGACCTGTGTTCTATCCCTGTATCCTGACCTGTGCTCTATCCCATGTATCCTGACCTGTGCTCTATCCCATGTATCCTGACCTGTATTCTGTCCCTCGTATCCTGACCTGTGCTCTATCCCATGTATCCTGACCTGTGCTCTATCCCATGTATCCTGACCTGTCTATCCCATGTATCCTATCCCTATCCCATGTATCCTGACCTGTGCTCTATCCCATATCCCATGTATCCCATGTACCTGTGCTCTATCCCATGTATCCTGACCTGTATCCTGACCTGTGCTCTATCCCATGTATCCTGACCTGTGCTCTATCCCATGTATCCTGACCTGTCCTCTATCCCATGTATCCTGACCTGTGCTCTATCCCATGTATCCTGACCTGTCTCTATCCCATGTATCCTGACCTGTGCTCTATCCCATGTATCCTGACCTGTGCTCTATCCCATGTATCCTGACCTGTGCTCTATCCCATGTATCCTGACCTGTCCTCTATCCCATGTATCCTGACCTGTGCTCTATCCCATCCTGACCTGTGCTCTATCCCATGTATCCTGACCTGTGCTCTATCCCATGTATCCTGACCTGTCCTCTATCCCATGTATCCTGACCTGTGCTCTATCCCATGTATCCTGACCTGTGCTCTATCCCATGTATCCTGACCTGTGCTCTATCCCATGTATCCTGACCTGTGCTCTATCCCATGTATCCTGACCTGTGCTCTATCCCATGTATCCTGACCTGTGCTCTATCCCATGTATCCTGACCCATGTGCCTGTGCTATCCCATGTATCCTGACCTGTGCTCTATCCCATGTATCCTGACCTGTGCTCTATCCCATGTATCCTGACCTGTGCTGTATCCCATGTATCCTGACCTGTCTATCCCATGTATCCTGACCTGTGCTCTATCCCATGTATCCTGACCTGTGCTCTATCCCATGTATCCTGACCTGTGCTCTATCCCATGTATCCTGACCTGTGCTCTATCCCATGTATCCTGACCTGTCTCTATCCTCCTGACCTGTATCCTGACCTGTGTGCTCTATCCCATGTATCCTGACCTGTCCTCTATCCCATGTATCCTGACCTGTGCTCTATCCCTGTGTATCCCATGTATCCTGTGCTCTATCCCATGTATCCTGACCTGACCTGTGTATCCTCTGTCTCTATCCCATGTATCCTGACCTGTGTCTATCCCATGTATCCTGACCTGTCCTCTATCCCATGTATCCTGACCTGTGCTCTATCCCATGTATCCTGACCTGTCCTCTCTATCCCATGTATCCTGACCTGTGCTCTATCCCATGTATCCTGACCTGTGCTCTATCCCATGTATCCTGACCTGTGCTCTATCCCATGTATCCTGACCTGTGCTCTATCCCATGTATCCTGACCTGTGCTCTATCCCATGTATCCTGACCTGTGCTCTATCCCATGTATCCTGACCTGTACTATCCCATGTATCCTGACCTGTGCTCTATCCCATGTATCCTGACCTGTGCTCTATCCCATGTATCCTGACCTGTGCTCTATCCCATGTATCCTGACCTGTGCTCTATCCCATGTATCCTGACCTGTGCTCTATCCCATGTATCCTGACCTGTGCTCTATCCCATGTATCCTGACCTGTGCTCTATCCCATGTATCCTGACCTGTGCTCTATCCCATGTATCCT